GACGGGATTCGAACTTGAAACTTTCACAAAATTTTCATACAAGAAAGGTCTCAAGTTCATGGCATATGGTGGTGTGGTGTCCCCTAAATCAGACCGCTCCAAGAGTACAAGTACGAAACCTGATATTGAATTGTTTTGTTCAGGAAAAACAAATTGAGAATGAAATTAAAATAAAATACATCAATAAGCAAGAGGAATTGCGTTTAGTCTATTACCCTGTTATTCGCAGACTTTAAACTAGAAAAGATTGAAAAGACAAACAATAAAACTTAAATAGTTCTGTAAAGCATAAAACCATTCCCTGTTTTTGAAACTAAGACATAAAACACGAAGCAAACAAGAACATTGAGAACATTGAGAACGAAATAAAATGACTCATTCAAAAGGAATCTCTGATTTTCTTTGTCTAACAACCTTGATTTGGGTTAAGCAGGGATGACAAACGGTTTGTTTCCAAATTGAAAATGATTGGCAATCTGACATGGTTGAACTGAACTACAAAAACTTACAAGCATTACACAAACCACCAAGAAATCCACATACAAGGTTTTTTCGTAGAAAGCCTAACAACAGGGATCAAATATAAACACAAAGTTTAAAGAATTCTGCACTACTCATAAATAACATCCAACGTATATTTGTTTTAGAAAAGCAGTAAATCTAAAGAGCTCAACCTCCATCACAATGAAAACACACTGTAGCCTTAGTTCATGCATTTGCTAGATTGGCCATCATTTTCCCCTGGAATTTGCAAAAGAGATTGTTAGAGAGAGAGAGAGACAGACAGACAGACAGAAAGAGAGAGAGACAGAGACGGGCAGAGCGAGAAAAACAGAGTTTCAATTCACTTACGTGTTCATCATCAGAGTTATGTTGTCTCCTTTAAGAAGAATCCTTCCTGAAATAATTAAAACAAAACAGAAACAATTTAAAGATTGCACAAACATAGGGCAGCAGAAGAGCGAAAGACGAGGAGACTCACCTAATGACTTTCTGGTGTTTTTCTTGATGCTGACTTCTTCGGCCTCATCCAGAACCAAATTCATGTACTCATCAAAACCCTATCAAACCCAGATCACCACCAAAGAGATTAAGACATTATTGTCAGATATATATACGCTGACATAAATAAGGGGAATAGATAGAGACAGAAAAAGAGAAAGAGAAAGTAGGCATATATCAGAATGCAAATTACATCATTTCTATGTCAGCTTCTGAACTATGAAAAACATTTGTTAAATAAATGGAATAAAATAAAATATCAAACTAGATTATAGCACAAATATGGAATATGGAGATAATCACGCAGAGCCAACACATCCTCAACCGTAAGAAAATTAGGAATAATATGGTTGAAGCCATTGGGTACAAGGCACCACAAAAGGAAAGGTAAAGTTGTGTGTTTGTAAATGCATTGAGAGAAAAAGTTGGACAATATAAAAGCCCTTTATAGAAAAAAAAAAAAAAAAAAAAAAAAAAAAAAAACCTATAAGTAAAATTGAAAATCCAGGATATCCTGCTGGTTACGTTATTCCTTACATTTTCTACTTGTCTACCTTTTTTCCATCCTCATCAATGACTAACATCTTCATCTAGCCACGTGAAACTGAACTTTTAACACATTCATAACATTTAACAATTATATTAGACCCACAAGTTGAAGACAAGTATCATTAGTTTTGTCAATTTGGAGCAATTTAAATTCTAAGGGAAAATTCAATTTTATAATCCACGTGCAACAACTTGTAACAAACAAATGTTGTTAGCACACAGCTCTGTCTATTCTATACCTTTCTGCAACCAATTTATCCATTTTAATGAAGCCAAGCCCTTATACAACCCTAAGTGCTAGTAGAGATTCTAGAGAATTGGGCAAAAGGGAAGAAGGAAAGAAGGAAAAGTTCCAAGGCCCTATACGAAATCAAGGCTTTGAAATCTATTCCCTATACTAAGCCTCTTATGATTTAGAACCCACTGGTTTGTAGACAATAATTTGATCTTGGGCATAGATACAAAATTGGAACTGAATCTTCCATGTTTCGACAAAAGTCCCTTTCATATAAGTACTCCATACGAGAACAGCGTAGAAGCATGTCTCAACAAGGGAAACATGTTTTACCAACTGACGAAGACCGACTGTTGGAAGATAAATAGAATATACTGAAAAACTAATAATATCCCAGATCAGCAGCTTCCACATCTTTCTTTTGCTTACTTTAGGAGGAAAACTGGTTTTTCACTCAAGTACAATAATCATTCATAGCAGAAGGTCATACTTCCGCACCCTAATTAGACAAATACAAATGACTCCTGAAACATCCCTGCAGTATTCTTAAGATCTACCAAATAATTAGTCATTCCACAATGCACCTCCAATTATGTCATTAAAATTAATATGATGCCTAAAGAACCCCAATTCTTGAACCCACCAGAATAAAAGCTAAAAGCCTAAAACTACAAGCTATCCAATACTGTGTAACCTCCACAACCAACAATGTATAACAGCATCAATTACACAACATAATAGACGATAAGAACAACATGAACTTTTAATCAAAAGCATAAGCCAAAGGGAGAATAAATACATCAGCATTCGGTATCACTCAGTAGAACAGTTAAATTGAGCACTACTTCTATCAAAATTCGTTTAAGCTCAATCATATGCGGAAAGTAGAAATTTAAATCCC